AGAATTAGAACTGGCCTTTATCTCTCACTCTGCAGATACAGAAAAGGGGACACCACAAGATGGCACAATTTGCAAAGGTCGCAGCTAGTGTAACACTGAATTAGGAGGAGATCTCAGAATACCTTTCTCCTTCTCTTCTCTCTTTCATTTCTGCTTTGTCTTCTCTTTCCTAGCATAATATTGGAGTCAGACAAACTTGTATTTGGATCTCAGTTCCGCCACTTATACTGGTGACCTTCAACTTATTTAACTTCTGTGATCCTCAGTGTCCTCATATGTTAATTGAAATATTAATATGCACCATAGCAGGGAGGGCATAGCTCAGTGGTAGAGCATATGCCTAGCATGCACAAGGTCCTGGGTTCAATCCCCAGTACCTCCATCAAATAAAAAAATAATAATAATAAATAAGTAAATAAACCAAATTACCTTTCCCCTAAAAAAAATATATATATATATATTTTAAATATGCACCTCAAAGGGTTGTTGTAAAGATTAAATAAAAAGTTGAATAACAACAACATACACAGACCAAAAAAACCAAAACAAAACCCCTAGAGCTAATAGCACACTTTACAGTGAGAAACTCAAAGCTTTCCAAGACCAAGTAGAAGGCAAGGATATCTGCTCTCACCACTCCTTTTCAACATCATACTGGAAATCTTTGCTAGTGCAATAAATCAAGAACAGGAAATAAAAGGTATACAGACTGAGAAAGAAGACATACAACTATCTTTCTGACAGATGACGTGGTCATTTATGTGGAAAATCTGAAGGAATGAACAAGAACATAAAACCTCCTGCAACTAATAAGCAATTAGAGCAAAGTTGCAGGATACAAAGGTTACTACACAAAAGTCAACTGCTTTCCTGTATACCAACAATTAACAAGAGGAATTTGAAATTAAAAACACAATGTCATTTAGCTATCCCTAAATGTGAAATACTTAAGTATGAATCTAACAAAGAATATATAAGATCTATGAAGAAAACTACAAAACTCTGATGAACAAATCAAAGAAGAACTAATTAAATGGAGAAATAATTCACATTCATGGATAGGAAGACTCAATATTGTCGAGATCAGTTCTTCCCAATTTGACCTACAGATTCAATACCATCTCAATCACAACTGCAGCAAGTTCTCTTATGGGTATCAACAAACTGAGTCTAAAGGTTATATGGTGAGGCAAAAGACCCAGAACAGTCAATACAATATTGAAAGAGAAGAACAAAGTTGGAGGACTGACATGACCTGATTTCAAATCTTACTATAAATACTATATTACTATATAAAGCTATAGTAATAAGACAATATACATTGACAAAAAAAATAGATCAATGGAACAGAACAGAGAGCCCAGAAACAGACCCCCATATAGTCAACTAATCTTTGACAAAGGAGAAAAGGCAATACAACAGAACAAAGATAGTCTCTTCAACAAATGATGCTGGAACAACTGGACGTCCACATGCAAAAAAAAAAAATCTAGATCTAGACACAGACTTTACACCCTTCACAAATATTAACTCAAATGGATCACATACCTACATGTAAAATTCAAAACTATTAAACTCCCAGAAGATAACATAAGAGAAAACCTAGATGACCATGAGTATGACTTTTTAGATACACCACCAAAGACATGATATATGAATGAAATAATGATAAGCTAGACTTAATTAAAATTTAAAGCTTCCACTTTGAGACAGACCATATCAAGAGAATCATAAGACAAGCCACAGATGAACAAAATATTTGCAAAAGGTACATCTGATAAAGGATTATTATCCAAAATACACAAAGAACTCTTAAAACTCAAGAAATAAGAAAACATACAACCCAGTCAAGAAATGGGCCAAAGACCTTAGCAGAGACTTCATCAAAAAAGATACACAGATGGTAAGCTCCACATCATATATCATCAGAAGTGGTGAGGGAATAGCTCAGTGGTAGAGTGGGTGCTTAGCCTGCGTGAGGTCCTGGCTTCAATCCCCAGTACCTCCACTAAAAAATGACATAAACAACTGGAAGTCCTGGGGAAGTCATGTACAGCATGATGACTATAGTAAAACAAAAAAAATACACTGTGTTGGCATATTTGAAAGTTGCTAAGAGAGTAGATCCTAAAAGTTTTCATCACAAGGAAAGAAAATTTTTTTGTAATTATATAAGGTGATGGGTGTTAACTAATTGCAATCATCTCACAATATATATATGTGTCAAGTCATTATGCTGTACACCTTCAGCTTATACAGTGCTGTATCTCAATTGTATCTTATGAAAGCTGAAAAAACATAAAATTTACTTTAAAAAGTCAAAAAAACTAAAAAATAAAAAAGTTAAAAACAAAAAGAAAGAAGAAAGCTCCCCCCCCAAAACACAAAAACCTAATTACCTCACCACCACCCAAAAAAAACAAAGAAAAAAAAAGACATATATCATCAGGGAAATGCAAATTAAAATGACAGTGGATACCACTACATACCTATTAGATTGGCAACATCTGAAGCACTGACAACACCAAATGCTGGTGAGGACATGGAGCAACAGGAATTCTGGTCTATTCCTGGTGGGAATGCAAAATGGTACAGCCAAGTTGGAAGACAGTTTGGCAGTTTCTTACAAAACTAAACATACTCTTACCATATGATCCAGCAATTGTGCTCCTTGGTATTTACCCAAGGGAATAGAATACTTATGTCCACACAAAACCCTGAATAAGGATGTTTATAACAGCTTTATGCATAATTGCGCTGACTTGGAAGCTACCAGGATGTCTTTTAGTAGGTGAATGGATAAATAAACTGTAGTACATCCAGACAATGGAATACTATTTGGCACTAAAATGAAATGAGCTATCGAGCCATGAAAAGACATGGAGGAAACTTAAAGTGAAAGAAGACCAGTCTGAGAAGTCTACATACTGTATGAATCCTACTCAATCTCACTCTGGAAAAGACAAAACTATGGAGACTAAAAATATCAGCAGTTGCCAGGGGTGGGGTGTGGGAAGAGATAAATAGGCATAACGCAAGAGAATTTTTAGGGCAATAAACATTTTTAGTTCAATGAAAATACTCTGTATATTACAGTGATGGATATCTGTCATTATACAGTTTTCCAAATCCACTGAATGTATGTCATAAAGAGTGAACCCTGAAGGTAAATTAGGGACTTTGGGTGATTATGCGTCAATATAGGTTCATCCTTGGTAAAAAAAAAAAATGTACCATTCTGATGAGTGATGTTGACGATGGAGGTTATGCAAGTGTGGGAGCAGGGGGTATATGGGAAATCTCTGAACCTTCCTCTCAATTTTATTGTAAACCCAAAACTTCTCAAAAAAAAAAAGTCTTAAAAAAGTTGAGCAAGTAAAGACCTGGCACATAATAGAACATATATTCACCCTTTTCTTGTTCTTTCCTCATAGTTTTCTTTTTCCTTCCCTCTTTATTTATTTTTTTTTAGGTCTTTGACTTTTTTTTAATGATGTATAGTCAGTTTACAATGTTGCATCAATTTCTTATGTACAGCATAATGTTTCAGTCATACATGTACATACATATATTCCTTTTCATTACAGGTTACTACAAGATATTGAATGTAGTTCCCTGTTTTGTACAGTAGAAAATTGTAGTTTATCTATCCTTCCCTCTTTAAATGGATAAGGTTGGACTCATAAATTCTTTGGCTCCTTCAACCTTTGGAATATTTTATTAGCCTTTGCTCCCTTCTTCTCACTTTCATATGTCATCTTTCATTTATTTCTTCTTTTTCTTTATCCTCCTCTGCCTCTTCCTCCTCATTCTTTTTCCTCTTCTCCTTCCTTTCTCTGTTTCTGCTTCTCATTTTCTATCATAAACCAAGCCATGTGGACCATAAGCTTTGAGTTTAAAGTCCCTTCAGCTCCAGAAGTCGACAAGTTAGTTCTATGACTTTTCTCTTAATTTATGTTCTTTTCCCCTCTCTCCATTACTTATAAATTACTTAACTTCCCTGGGCCTCGGTTTTTCCATTTGGAAAATGGAAACAATAATAGATTGTTATAAGCATCAAATGAAGTAAGTAAAGCTCTTACCTCAGTGCTTAACACAAAGGCTTCCAAAATGTCATTAACTTTACTCTCACTTGACCTTCTGCAAGTCCGGTGAGAACTATAAAATACTATAGAAATGTTAGTTGTTTATTATTTTTTCCTTCAAGTATCATGGTGAATTGGAAAGAAGGCTCCGGATTTTAAAAGACCTGGGTTCCAGGCAGAACTCTGAATTTTGATGAGCCTCAATTTCCTCATCTGTAAAATGAGAATAATAACATGTGCCTTCCCTCCACCTAAGATTTTTTTCCTTCCCCAGGAATTAAAAGGCAATGTACAGGAAAGCATCACTGTTCAAGCATATGTTATAATCATGACAGATGGTGTCCAGGAATCACAATGTGGACGCTCTATAGGCACGAGGATTCAATGGGATAAAAAAATTTTTTTAAGATGCCTGATCAATAGTAAGCACTCAAAACATGTTAGCTGTTATTTCCTTTACCTTTTCCATTCTTGCCTCTTCCTCCTTCTGAAAACTCAGGGGTTGCACTACCCAGCTGACCTCTACAGCTGAACTTCTATTATTGTCTCCTTCCTCTCTCCTCCTCACCACCCGCTTTTTCCCTTCTCCCTCTCTCTACTGCAGCTCTCCTCTCCCCTCAGGCACACGGTACAGCCCGAAGTCCACAACTCAGGCCGCTTAGCGCTGACACGGAACCAGCGAGGGCCTGCCTGAGACCAAGGCTTCCCTCTGCAAGTTGCTACTAGCACTCGTCCAGCAATAAAGTTTTATTGAAATAAGGCAGAAAAAAAGGCGCCCGTCAGTCTTTCCTCAGCAGCCAATGAGAAAGCGGGATGTCTACGTCGCTCACAGGAGCTTCAGCAGTCCGAGGAGGGGGCGGGGCACGTCGCGCTCGAAACCCCCTCGGAAGAGCGGAAGTACAGCCGGAAGCCAGCCATAGAGTTTAGGGGCCAGAGCGACTCTGCAGGGAGGTGGCAGGAAAGGCTGGGAACAGCTGCCGGAGGTGACGGAGCAGTGGCCCCGCCCGGTGTGCTGGAAGGCGAAGCTTCCAGGTAGCGGCCCGCAGAGTCTGACCCAGAATACGACGGGGCAGCCGGCAGAAGCCCACGGTCCCAGGGCGGCTTCTTTAAGGGAGGGGGCGGAGCCACGTGAAGGACCTTGAGGGTGAGGTCACATGGTTCGGGGCACATGCGGGGTACCGTGGAGTTTTGAGGGATCGTCGTCGTTGGGGTGAACCACTATGTGCCATCCCTTCCTCCACTGCGACCCGTGCCTTGCGGTTTAATGGGGTGCACGTGCTGGGGCTTGGGGTTAGGGCCAGGGATGGGGGAGGGTGGGCGTGGCAGCCCTGTCTCAGCCAGGCTTCTATCGAAGTGGCCAATTTTAGGAGTCCTAGATCCAGTGTTAGACTGCTCCATCTCTGAATCCTCGTTGCGAAAGTGGCCCAGTGCCTCTGCAATCCAGCCTCTAGCCCTGTGCTTTCCACCCTTCCCAGTTCAGGAACTTCCAGCTTCACAACCTCTTTCCTTGCAGCTCCAGACTTCCGGAGCCCAGGTCCCCGCAGCTCAGTGCAGCCATGAGTGCCGAGGTGAAGGTGACAGGGCAGAACCAGGAGCAATTCCTGCTCCTGGCCAAGTCGGCCAAGGGGGCAGCACTGGCCACGCTCATCCACCAGGTGCTGGAGGCCCCCGGTGTCTACGTGTTTGGGGAACTGCTGGATATGCCTAATGTTAGAGAGGTGGGTTCCTGGCTTGTATAGCCCGCAGGGAAGCGTGGGGCTGAAGTTTGAATTTGAGAGTGATTGGGCAGGACTCATTTTGCAACCCCGTAAGCATTCAGTTGAACAAGAATACAGTGATAATTAACTGGTAGCTTGCAGAGATAAGCAGGCAGGTAAATCTCTAAACCTCTTGTTTTCCTTCTGGGGATGAATGACCTACAAACCCCAGTATTTTTCACTTTTAAGCAAACGACCTTGCGATTCAGAATAGGAGACTTGATTCCAGCCTGTTTCCATCAGTGTAATGCCTCTTGATAATTGTATCACCTTGATTAGGTCACTTTTGTTTTAAAGCCTTAATTTTCTTTTTAAAAAAATGGACCTGATACTACCTGTCACTGTTATTGTAGATATCAGGTGAGATTATGGGAAAATGTAAAGTCTGGTACAAATGGAAGGATGAATGTGAAATTGGCTTGCCCTGTTCTCTCCCTCTTTGCACCTTATGGTAATTCACTAAGTTAGATAAGGTAGAAGGTAACTTCCCCAAAGACACGCGACAAGATGCTAGGAACACAGCAGAGAGAACTGTTCACACAGAAATGGCAGAGTTAAGAGTTTAAAGTTCAAAGTGAGTGGGTTGCCAAGATGTATGACACCAGCTCGAGTTCTGAGATGCTGTGACAGTGCTGGGTGGGCTGGTGATTGAGTCAATGGATTTAGCTTTTCGGAGACTGCCATCTTTCTCTGCTTTCCTCTGCAGTGGAACTAAAGAGAATCAAGGTGAAGAAAAAGAAGTACGTTTGGGGTGTCAGTTTAGCACTCTGCTAGTCGTCTGGGAATACCAGAAAAGTACAAGACTCAGTGCTACCCTCTGATACTTACATTCTGGTTGCAGAGAGAAAGATGAATGGATATCCATGTATAAATCATTTATTTAGCAAGTATTTATCAGCAGAGCCAACTACATGCACAGCTCTGCTAGACCTAAGTGTGGTACCAGAGACTGGGTCTGTAATCTTGTTGAAAAGAAAGATATTCTTAGGCAACAACTTTAGGTGGCCTTTGATTGACTAAATGCCAGAAGGGGTGATCAGTGGTAGGAGAAGAGGTCTGGATGGGTTGGCCTGGGTGATGAAAGCTCCCAGATGAGGCCAGTCTGAAGCAGAATCCACAAATCCCAGAGCCTTTCCAGACCGTGTAGCTGTCAGGGGAGTGAGGCTGAGGCGGGAGCCTTTGGTGCATTGGGGTGTACAATGGGACAGTTGACTCCCTAAAGATACTGAAATTCAGAAATACTCTTAAGGGCCACACAACACAATTTTCAGTGTCTGGTGTGTGTGTGTGTGTGTGTGTGTGTGTGTTAGTTAGATAACA